TAGGGGAGTTCTATGTGGAGTCTTTTGAGGAACCTCCATACTACTTTCCAAAGTGGTTGAACAAGTTTACACTTCCACCAACAATGCAGTAAGATTCCCTTCTGTCCACATCCTCTCCAGTATCTGTTGTTATTAGAGTTCTTGATTATAGCCATTATAACTGGGGATGAGGTGGTATCTCAATTAAACACAAGTCTTATTGAGAACAATGATCATCATGAAAATTACAATTTGTCCACACAGAAAATATGGATCATACACAGATTCATTTGTCTGTGCCCAGAACAGCTCATGACACAGAGCAAGAACTCAGAAAGGGGGATTCCATTTAAGAAGGAAACACGAATATAGATTGTCCAAGACTGGTTTCTCTGTTCCTACAAATTCATAGATGAGTTGGAGAGAGCAATATAATGAGATGAATTCCAGGACTGTGCCACAGGAACAAAATTATTCTTTTACAGAGATGTGTAGGGAATTGAAAGCTGCATTACTTACAATTTTCAATAAGATTGCAGAAATCTGCACAATTTTGTTAGTGTGAGAAAAAGTGTAGAAAATTGTTATTAAGGTATTAGAATACTCCAAATAGCATGTTATCAACACTGTGATAATGCTTGGGAGAAAAAAAAGCTGAAGAAGAAAGCCTAAATACTGAAGAAGTAGGAATGGGGAGGAAGTTAGGGTTTAACAAAGACACAAAAATGACTTTGTGACAGTCAGTGCTGGCACTATGGTAGATCATATTAGGATTACACCTAAGTAAACAAGTTGCTAATATCTTTGAAGAAAAGGAAATTCAAACCAAGAACTAATGGTACTTTACTCATCTTATCAGATATGGACCAGTGTGTGAAGCGTCGAGATCATCAGTATGCTAACACACAGAGAACCCAGTGCCTCCTGAGAGCTGCAAGTTTTCTGGCTTTTGGAGATCCCTTGGGCATGGGTCTGGCCTGCATGGCTCTTTGCTTCTCTATGCTCACTGCTGTTGTTCTTGGGCTGTTTGTGAAACACCATGACACTGCCATTGTCAAGGCCAATAACAGGACTCTCAGCTACATCGGACTCATCTCCCTCATCCTCTGTTTTCTCTGTTCCTTGCTGTTTCTTGGCTGACCCAACACAGTCACCTGCATCCTGCAGCAAACTGCCTTTGGAATTGTATTTACTATGGCTATTTCCACAGTGTTGGCCAAAACAGTGACTGTGGTTCTGGCCTTCAAGGCCACTTCTCCAGGGAGATGGATGAGGTGGCTACTGGTATCAGGGGCCCCTAACCTCATCATCCCAGTCTGCACCCTCATCCAGGTGACCCTGTGTGGAGTCTGGCTGGGAACTTCTCCTCCCTTTGTGGACAACGATGCACACTCTGAACATGGTCATATCATTGTCCTGTGCAACAAGGGCTCCCTCACTGCCTTCTACTGTGTCCTAGGATACCTTGGCTTTCTGGCCCTGTCCAGCTTTACCATGGCTTTTCTGGCCAGGAAACTGCCTGACACCTTCAATGAAGCCAAGTTCCTGACCTTCAGCATGCTGTAGTGTGTGGCTCACCTTACTATCTGTCTATTACAGTGCCAAGGGGAAGGTCATGGCGGCTGTGGAGGTCTACTCCATCTTGGCCTCTGGTGAGGGCTCTTAGGCTTCATCTTGGCCCAAAGTGTTATATAATTTTGTTAATCCCAATTAGAAATTAACTACATGGCTTTAGGCATAAAAGACATAGTAGAAGAAATAAGCCTTCTTAAGATTGAACTCATATGTTTGATTTGTATGTAGAAGATCTGATCTAAATCTCTAGCTAATTTCTATTGTCATATTCATTTATTTATTTTTATTTTTTATTGTGAAAATACCATACAGAGGGGTTACAATTACATGGGCAAGGTAATGAGTACATTTTTTATTAAGCAGTGTTGCCTCCTCCTTTGTTTCCCCTTCCCAACCCTTCCTCTCTCCCCCCTCCCCTTAAGTTGTAAAGTTCATTTTTTCCCTCATAACAACTTGTACATCTCATTGTTGCAATGGGTCCATCCATATCCCTATTTAAATGATTTGTTTTTGCCCTTCCTCTCCACAAATTAAACTAACATCAAACACAGTGAAAGCAGGGGTTATACCGGGTTGGAGGGACATACAGAGCAACAAAGACATCATCTTATAAATATGTTAGAAACAATCGCAAGAAAGAAAAAAAATCATGGCTGGGTGTCGGTGGCTCACACCTGTAATCCTAGCTACTCAGAAGGCTGACAGCTGAGGATTGCAGTTCAAAGCCAGCCCTGTCAGGAAAGGCAGTGAGACTCCTTTCTCTAGTAAACCACTAGAAAACCATAAGTGGCACTGTAGCTCAAGTGGAAGTGCGCTCACCTTGAGCTGAAGAGCTGAGGGACAGCACCCAAGCCCAGAGTTCAAGCCCCATGACCAACATAAAAAAAGAAAGAAAGGAAGAAAGAAAGAAAGAAAGAAAGAACAAACATTTGATGCTGCAACAAACATAGTTGTGCTGGTAGCTTGCAGCATTATGTACCATAGCTAAGATATGGAACCAACCCAGATGCCCCTCAGTAGATGAATGGATCAAGAAAATGTGTTATATATACACAATGGAATCTATGTCTCCATCAGAAAGAATGACATTGCCCCATTTGTTAGGAAATGGAAAGACTTGCAAAAATTACATTAAGTGAAGTAAGCCAGGCCCAAAGAAACATAGGTCCCATAGTATGTCTGAGACAAACAGAAACTGTCAGACAAGTTGTTGTTAGGCAAAATGAACCCTAAGGTAAGAATTCAAGTGTTCTTTCCTCCTTGTGATTGTTTCTAACATATTTATAAGATAATTTCTTTGTTGCTTTGTATGTACTTCCTCCATGGTATAAGCCCTGCTTTCACTGTATTTGATGTTGGTATAATTTGTGGAGGGGAAGGGAAAAAACAAATTGTTTAAATAGGGCTGCAGGTGGACCCATTACAACAATGAGATGTACAAGACATCAAAAAACGAACTTTACAACTTTATGG